CTTTCCTGAGTTGCAATTGACAATTGAATTCAGCTATATGAGACTTTTTCCTTCTAGAATATTTCTTTACACTGAAGCTTATCTGACACCTCTTCACTCTTCCCTTTTGTGAGGTCTTTCTGGCATTCCTTGAATGCAAAGGACTCACTGAGCATCTCTTGCTATGGCCTTACCCCATCTGAGTGCCCATTTTGCACTTTAACCATCAAGCAATGCCAACAATTCCTTACCTGACTTCCAGGTTTTGATAGGTGTGAAGAGTTTTTTGCAAGTTAGAGTGGTCTTTACAAGGCATTTTCCAGTTTTTGTTTTAGCTTTTTGAATTTCCTGCTAACATTTGAATTAACATGTTTAAAGGACTTCTCTGTTATTTCCACATGGACAAGCTTTCCATTTGTTAAAATTACAATTTTTCCTTGTGACAGACTTAAGTTTCCTTCTTAATCCAATCAGGGGCTTTGGACCACTTTGTGTTCTTCAGTTGTAACACACGTTTTACCTGGGCTTTTAACATTATTTAATAGCCTTTAATATGCTTGTTAGTTTCTTGTGGTCCTCACTTTTACATAGTTCCTTTTCCTGAAATTGAATATAATAATTTCATAGTCCTAGTTTTTAGGATAGTCTCTGTTGCTAGAACACCCTTGATGCAAAAGCATACTATGATATCAGTTGATAGGATTTTCTAACGTAAGGGATCAGAAATATGACTATCAGTGGAATGTTCTCAGAGAGCTTAGCACTTTGGAAGTAAAATTCCTCTGTAACATTCTTGTAGGTCTTATTAATTTCTCTTCTTCTCTAATTTATCTTTTTAATTGCTTTCTATTTAAAAGTCTTCAATTCAGTCACTCTTCCTTAACAAAAAAGTTGAATCTCAAGGCCTGGAGGTCCCTGAAGTGTTACAGACACTGAAATTTTCCCAAAGGTCTGTAATCACAGATGCTGTACTTTGCAGAATAAAGTGGGTATCTCCCTCTCCTCCTGCTGTTAGATTTACCTATCTGCATCTTGAGCATAAGACACATTAATTTTTGGATGTTTATATTAGTTTATCTTCTTTCAAGAAACTACTTACCTTGCTCAACACTCCTTGAACTAGTTAGCAATAGGTAAAAATACTCGAGTGTAGAGAAATCCCACAGAGGCACAAACAAGCATCCAGCTCATCTGAGGCTCTTAATACATACACTGAAGTTTGTTATACAAATATATGCTACATCTATACAGAGAGAATTCTGGGGAGGGGATTCCACTTTCTGGCTTACTTAAAAATAGTCCATGAAGACCCAGTGAGTGAAGTTTAGACTCACTAAGGAAATGCAGATGTCCAATTCAAAATCAGCTGAACAGCTCTGCAGATTGCTCTGAATATTCACCACATTTTCATTGACTATAATAAGTGCACAGGCAGCTAGCTTTCACAAAGACATCTCAAGTTAGGCAAGATGAATCCTACTGTTCTTCCGAATCAAATCACAGATAATTATATCACTGTCACGTCTCATGTCATCTGTGCAATCTGGCCAGTTCTGATGAATAATTGCTTATTTGCTTAGAGTAGCAGCATATTGTTCTCAGCCTTTGTATAAGCTGTGGTGCCTTTGTGTTGAAAATTCGTTGATTTTCCTGATTTCCCCCGAAAAGATCAGTAAAACCAGATAAAATAAAACAACTCTAGGATGGTCTGATTATAGCTTTCTATTAGATATAAGCACCAACAAGTTGAATATCTTCCTGTGTAAAGACTCAAAATGCTTTTTGCTCCCTTTTTGACAGGATGAGACGGCCTTAACTGAGCATGCAAGAAGAACAATTACCAATGATGCTTATCAGTCATAGCAAAGAAAAAAAAAACAAAAAAGTTTCTATTTCTAACCATAATTGCTATTACTGCACATATTGGCAATCTATCTGAGAGAAAAGATCAATTTTCAGTTATGTACATTCATTTTACTCTTTCAAAAATATGCTAATGTAAAAGGAAATCATGTGTATTGAAATTGATTCATATAGAGCATATATTTTTTCTGTTACTCTTTCTTGAGTGAATTCTATAAATGAAAAAGCAATGAAAAATGTAGAAGATAGGAAAGTTTCAATATCCATACTCCATATTAGATATGAAAAAGTTATAGGCTATAACTATAAAGTGCTTATTTTTTTCCTAAAAGTATTAGACAACCTGAGAAAGTTTTGAAGTGTATTTTCTTGCAAAGTATATTGCAGCATAGATAAAGGCTGAAAAAATTCAGGAGAAAAAAGTAGAAAAAAATAAATCCAAGTATGTCTAGGGAAATACATATACACACACAAATATATTTCATTTTTAAATTGGTTCTTTGAATCACCTTAGTTGCTGACCTTGCCTGACTCTGCCATGACCACCCAGTCATTTTCTCCCTCCTCCTATGTGACAAGGAAAGAAAATAAGGTGTCAAAGCTCCTAGACTGATAAGGACAGAGAGATCACTTACCATTTACTGTCACAGGCAAAACAGACTTGACTTGGGTTAAATAATAATTTAAGTTATTGTAACTAGAAATAGATTTTGAGACAGTGAGAAGCAGAAACAAAACCTAAAACTACACTTCACTTCTTCCCAGGCTCAACTTCACGTCTCTATCTCAAAGTTTTCTGCCTCCTCATTTTACCCTGAGAAGTGCAGACAGAGCGGGAAAAGGGGGTTGTTGTTTGCACCGGCTCTTCTCATCTGCTCCTTCCTTCTCATAGTATTCCCCTGCTTCAGTGTGGGTCCTCTTCCTGTGATGTAGGGTAAGATCGCTCCTGCATAGGCTCCTCTCCGTGGGTCATGGTTTCTGCCTAGACCCTGCTGCTGTGCAGGCACTCAATCGGCTGCAGTTCTTTCAGGGCATGTCTACATGTTGCAGCATGGGGTCTCCCATGGGATTCAGTGCAGATGTCTACTCTGGCATGGTCCTCTCCATGGACTACTGGCAAATACACGCTCCACCATCATTCTCTCCAGGGGCTACAGCTCCTACAATCTCTGTTTCAGTGTCCAGAGCACCTCTTACCTCTCCTTCTTCAATGACCTTTGATGCTGCTAAGGTCTCCTCTCTCTGCTGGGCAGTTTTCTACTCTTTCTTAAATATGTTTCTACAAATGTGCCACCGTCTTGAGTGAGTGGCTCAGCTGTACCCTGCAGTAGGTTAGTTGGAGCTGACTCAGATGGGTTGTTTCCAGCACAGGGCCACCCCTGGACCATTATCACAGAGGCCACTCCTGCAGCACCCCTTCTAAACAAAATCTTGGCACCTACACACAATGAATTTGCGTAGCCGTTGTTACAAAGAAATGTACCTTCAAGTGAAGGATATATATATATATGTATTGATATGGATTAAGTTATGACTGTATTTCAAAATAAAGGAAGTGGTTGAATTTAATCTAGAATAAAACAATTACAGAGCATAAGCCTGCCATGATTTTCAAGATATGCACACCCTTACATAGTCAGAAAGCCTAGCTGATCACTGTAAGAGTTGCATAGGTATGATATATATCTGAGTAGGATGAATACAGTGTTAGAGTCTTTAAAATATGACATTTGCAGCATAGTCTAATCTGGAAATCACACTGCATGCAAATAGAATGACTATCAAAAGATGAAGCCATCACTCTGACAGACTTATCTGTCAAAGGTATATGTATATTGTTTCATAATTCCTATGAATTTCTAATCTATGCATTTTCAAACACCTAAGTTTGAAATATGGTTATTTTTTGAATATAATTTTATGAAGTTGTCTACAGGTCATTTAATCTCTCATTTTCTTAAAATGGAGAAAAGTGTAAATCATGGATGTTGCTAGAGAAAATATTACCCAAGAGTATTTTGTATTAGCATTGGCAACAGCTGATAATCATACAGATTTACAATATCATATCATGATGCACACTCTGTAGAGCTGAATTACTTATTTTCTGACTTTTTCTTTCTGCAAAGGGAGTTGGAAACTAATATTTCAGCTAGATTTATTCCCTGTGTGAGACTTTCATGCATTTTCAACAGAAGAATTATAGACCATACTTTCTTTACATAATATGAGATATTTTTAGTTATCTAGTACTTTAAGCTGTAAATAAAAAATTATGAAAGGTACCTGCATTCATACACAAACTAAAAAGAAGTTTGCATAACATTTTGGAATGTTTTTTGACGATTCAGAAGCACAATATTAGAAGCCAGATAGCCCACATGGGAGGCAGATCTCATGCCAGACTTTCTCATGAGACCAAATATGTTTAAGAGGATCATATCCCAAGATTGATCAAACTCTGTTTGGCAAAAAATCTGAGAAAGTCTAAATCAGTTCAATACTTTCTGCAAAGTGTGGTCAATATTGTAAGGACTGTTCAGTGTTCTGCCAGATGTAGTCACCTTCTACAAGTTTGCTGACCATGGGAATCTACACATCACAGGCTTGGATATATGGATGCCTTCTTGTCCACATGTTAACACAAAATTATTAATGAACTTCAGAGGAGAAAGTGGGCAATATATTTAGTACACCATGGTTTTGTATCATAGAATTCGATAATTGCCTGGATTTTGAAATTTTAAAGCAAGTCATGGCAACTTTCAATGTAGAACGTTGCACTTTGATGTTCATTATTCAAATATACAGCTAAGCTACATCAAGTGGGGCTCACAGTGCAAACTAGGTAATTACCCTATCTATCCCAAAGTCATGGAAAAATGATTTTCAGGTAATGTTGGCTTAGCTTGCTGTGGCCTTTCAGATTTATCATTCACACTGCACATTTAGACTTCTTTAGACATTTCATCAATGATCTTTTCTAATGCAGTGTCATATAAACAACAAATAATGAGCTTTTCAGAATGGATTTTAAAAAACTGAATTTCTATCATGCATTTTCAATAAACTGACTTCATAGGTCAACTAAATAAAAATGAGTTTCAAGTGACATATTACCCTTTCTCCTATAATTTAAAAAAAAAATTAAGACATACATTAATATTTATCTCACATCTTGAGCTGGTCCATCCTGCTTCGCAAGAGCATTGATACCCATCAATGAGATCTATACATCTGAAATACAAAACAGAGTTATTCAGATGAAGCTACGTAATTCCATATTCAGCACTAGTAGTAACATTTCATAAATTTCAAAATAGTGGTCTGACATAACTCACTGAAATCCATGGTAATTTAATTAGTTTTAGTAATGGATTTAAAATGTGTGTATTATGGATGCTGAGGCATTTTGTAAGGATACTGATTGTTATATTAAAAGACATCTTCCCATTTCAACCTGTTGGCTTGTAACAGCTAAAGATCCACTTTTAAGTATATTAAACTAATTAATCCACATATACTGAATACTGGTTTATGCTAATGAACAAAAATGAAAGAGAAACCGAGATAATGTAACAGTATATTACATTAGCTTAAGCAGGCAACATCTGTCATCTTTAAGTGTGCTTGTACTCTTACTTTATGGAAGAACATAATTAAAAGTATATTTATCAACCTTCCCATATCATTAAATCTTAAATATTGCTAGTTAGGTGCATTACTTGGAGATAATAATAGTTAAATAAAAATAGGCACCTTCCATGAAGACAAGGATCTGGCAAGCATTCATTAACATTTGTCTCACAGTTTTGTCCAGTGAAACCTCTCTTACAGTGACACCTATAGGAACTGATGCCATCAATGCAACTTCCATTGTTGAGGCAAGGAGAAGACATACATTCATCTATATTTACTTCACATCTATCACCTGTTTAAAAAAAAAACAGAAAATGCAACTAAGCTTTAAATTCTAAACTCAAACTAGCCAAGTTTATTTATTAATAATTCCAGAAAAATTGCTTTTATTTACATAGATTGTTCATATAGTTCAATATATTTACCAGTAAAGACTATCCAATTGTAATTACCTATAGGTTTAAATGCCAAAAATTAGGGTTATATTGAAATATATAATGATAAATTATAAATATAAAATAATGACATCTGTAATTATGGTAGGGCGAGAAGGTTTTTAGGACCAGCTGGCAAGAAATGCAGAAATTGAAATTTCAAGATTAACTTTATTACATTGTTATTATAAAGTTGAATAACACAGGTTTCCTCCAAAAGGAATATAGAACTAAAATGAGATGCGTCTTGGTTGTGATCTAACTGTAATATTTATTTTCTCAAAATGAAATTGAAATGCAGGGGCTTTTGATAAATGGTGAAAGACATAAAATTCTTTGAAATATTTTTGAAGACATTCACTATGAGAAATATGGTGGTACACTTTTATGCTTATAAGTAAGTGCCACAACTTCCATCGAAACTTCTCAAAATACTAATTGGCAAACAATGTGCATAGGTCTCTCTGTAAGCAGTTACAGCCCACTGCTTGGTAGACAGCTAAGCACCACACAGCCAGTTATGCACACCCATGGCAGGATGGAGAAGAGAAACAAAAGGGAAAAGTAAGAAAATTCATGGGCTGAGATGGCAGTTTAATATGCAAAGCAGAAGCCATGCATATAAGCAAAGCAAAACAAGGAATTTATTGACTGCTTCCTATGGGCAGGTGGGTGTTCAGCCATCTCCAGGAAAGCAGGGCTTTCCTGTTTAGTAGTTACCTGGAAAATTAATGGTATCGGTGTGAACGTACCCCCATTTCCTCCTTCTTCCCCAGCTTTACATCCTGAGCATGAAGCCATGGTATGGGCAGATCCAGTCTCTCTACTCAGCCCTAGTAAAGCCATATGGAGTACTCTATTCAGCTCTGGGCTTCTCAGTACAAGAGAGACATGGAGCTTCTGGAGCGGGTCCAGGAGAGGGCTATGAAGATGAATAAGGGGCTGGAACATCTCTCTTATGAGGACAGGCTGAGGCAGCTGGACATTTTCAGCCTTGAAAAGAGATGGTTGAGAGGGGACCTCATTAGTGTATGTAAGTATCTGAAGGGAGGGTGTCAAGAGGATGGATCCAGGCTCTTTTCAGTGCCAAGCAATAGGACAAGAGGCAATGGGCAGAAATTGATGTACAGGAAGCTCCACCTGAACATGAGGAAGAACTTCTTTTCTGTGAGAGTGAGTGTGCACTGGGACAGATTGCCCAGAGAGGTTGTGGAGTCTCCCTCACTGGAGATATTCGAGAACCACCTGGGCACAGTCCTATGCAACGTGCTCTAGGATAACACTGCTTGAGCAGGGAGGTTGGACCAGATGACCCACTGTGGTCCCTTCCAACTTTACCCATTCTGTGATTCTCTGTTTCCTCTTATATCAGTTTGGATCAGCTGTCCCAGCTATGTCTCATCCCAACTTCTTGTGCATCCCCAGCTGCCTCGCTGGTGGGGTGGAGTGAGGAGCAGTAAAGCTCTTGACTCTGTGTAAGCGCTCTTCAGCAATAACTAAAACACTTATGTTTTATCAGCACTGTTTTCAGCACAAATCCAAGACACAGCTCCTTACTAGATATCATGGAGAAATTTAGCTCTAGCCAGGTCAAATCAGTATACTACTGATAATGCAAGAAACTTCTACTGATTTTTCAGGTGTGTGGGCCAGCAGAGGTGCGGATGAGAAAAAAAAGGAACGCTTAAGGCAAAATCAGCTTTTTACAGGAAGGAGTGAACAGCATTCCAGAGAAATACTGGAACCTTTGTCTAGTCCATGTATAATTATACAACCAAATATCAAATTCTGGCATTTACAATAAGTCTATTAACGTGCTACAAAAAGAGGTACTTTAAGATAATGGGAAATATTTTTATTTAGTGGAGATCAGTAGTGTAATATTCACGTTAATATGAATGTTAGGTATATAAAAATATTTTGTACACTTAAGGAAATTGCTTTTTTCACAATATACTTTCAGCTTCCTAACTGAGCCAGAGAAAATAAAACATCCCAATTCCTTTTTGAAGTCTGTGGTGTCAGTCTCAGCAGCCCTAGAGCACTGTTGTCATGCTCTAGCAGAAAGTGTACACAGGAGATTGGACTTGGTGGGTACTCTAGAAAAATGAACTTAGAGGGGCTGCTGTGCAATTCTGTGTTTGACCAAATCTTGGTGCAGTGGCACGTGCACCATGCTAAGCTCTATATTGGTACAAATTAGAAGGCAGTTCTGAAACCTGTTTATCCCCTGTGGCATGCAAGGAGTCAGTAAAGAGTTCTGCTCTTTTGTGCTCCTTGGATCCTCTTTCTTGTTTAGTGTCACACTCTCAGGATCACTGATGTCTTATTTGATATCACTAAAAACAAGAACTTAAAAATTTCAGAAAAAGATATTTTGTGAACATATTTTTTGTGAACAATATCTAAATTCAAGAAGAGAGAAGCCAAGTTCATCTGTTGTGCTATAGCAGATCTAACTATCAAAGAGGCAATTCTCCTTGTAAGTCAGCATTAAGGCAAAAAGTTCTCAATCTTCTCTTATCAAGAAGCGCTTCGAAAACATTGCCAGGATGGTAATACTACAGAATAATACACTTCTAATTCACTTTACTTTCAACTATGAAAATGATTACTTTTCTTGTATCTGAATGTTGAGGGCAGCTCTATAGCATTGTATTCTACAGCATTATAAAAAAGCAAGGACGTGTAATTAGATTCTCTGAAGTGAGACTGAATCTGTTGGAAAGAACTGGAATGCCTTTTAATGATATCTCCATATTCTACCTTTACTATGAAGGTAATATTAAGAGGAAAAATGGACCTTTAGTATGAGTTTCAGACATGTAGAGAGTAAAAGTCCATTTTGTCATTCCTACCCTAAAAAGAATTTGTGAGATTTGTGGTGAATACGGACTATAATTATTACAGTAATGATGGTACAATAGGTTTAAAGATGAAAATGAATACATATAACACAGAAAAATAATTAAATTAAAAAAGAAAAGATTTAAAAAAGTAATTTTTAAGTATCAGTTCTAACAAAGAAAATAACTTCCTCAATATTAGGGTTTCAAATGTTCCTGCCAAAATGCACAAACTCAAAATATTTTTGATAATTTTTATAGAAAATAATCTACATTAGAATGCTAAAATTTCTTCTTTAAATTCAACGCCCATATTCTAATATTCACTGAAAAAATCAGGCCAAATACATCCCTAACACTAATGCCTAAGGATCACTAGATTAATCCATTCTGATATGAATAAACATTTTCATTTAAATTACTTCCAAGAGCAAAATGTACTAAATTTGTAATATGATGCATTGTAGACACAAAAAGGCTGGCAACTGGTTGTGACTGTAAACTAGACAGTCTGTCATTCTCTTCCAATATAACTGTCATTTAATTTGAAAACTGTCTTTTTTAATCTTTTTCCAAAGTATGAAAACTTTTAATTAAAATAATCTTGCTAAATAAAACTAAACATTTTGTAAAGTAGACTATAATACCACAGAACTTGCCCTTTGCTTAAAATGTCACCTGTAAAGTTTTCCATAGTTCAGGCGGTGTGAGATGTGTTACTGGGCTGAAGACACCTCTTGGAGTTTTGCTTTACAGACTGTACTTACCTTGCTAGAAATAATGCCTCCAAGCATCAAAGGAAAGGGAAAAGTACCTCACACATACCACATTTGGGGGGTTAATGTATTAATGGAAACCTGGGGGCTCCCCTATGTGTCAGAGTGCTGTAGGAGGCAAGGAAATGTCATAAATGTAAGAAGAACTAGTACGGAGTAATAACAGTAACACTAAGATGAAAAGAAGACAGCTATTCTCCTGCTTCTGCAGATCATCCATTCATGAGAAGGGTCAGTCTGTCTCATATCTTAATAAAGAAAACTCAACAGCCTTTTCCAATTCCCATTTTATGTCCAACCCACTTCGCATCCTAATCTAGAGATTTTCACATTTTCCATCAAGACTTTTAACCACACTTTGAATCAGTGTTCAGTTTTGGGCCCTTCACTCCAGAGAAGAGAAAGGAAGCTGGTGAAGGGTCTGGAGCACAGATCTGATGAGGAGTGGTTGAGGGAGCTGGGCTGTTTAGCTTGGGGAAAAGGAGGCTCAGGTGGGACTTTATTGCTCTCTACAGCTACCCGGAAGAAGGTCATAGTAAGGTGGGGATTGGCCTCTTCTCCCAGACAACAAGTGACAGGATGAGAGGAGATAGCCTCAAGTTGTAGCAGAAGAGGTTTAGTTTAGATATTAGAAAAAAATTTCTTCACTGAAAGGGTGGTCAGTCATTGGAACAGGCTACCCGGGCAAGTTATGAAATCTCCATCCCTGGGTTTGATTTTTGAAAATATAGTGCTTATTCTGATTTGTTTACTTCCTATTAGACTCATAGGAAGATATAATAGAACTTATAAATATATGTTATGAAATATATAAAAACTCTATATACCAAATATAAAATTATTTCATCATGAGGGCTAAAGACTGAGGAATATGATAATTTATAGACTGATTTTTTTTCTCTTTATTTTTTTCCTCTTTTTTTGTTTTTTGTTTGTAGGAGACAATAAAGAGATTTGAGGAGATTAAAAATTCAAGACATCAATTTATAAGAAGTGACTAGTATGAAAAGAGATGAAAAGGAAGAAACACAGAATTTTGTACTACAATGAAGTCAAATATGTACTACCTGGAAAAGAAAAACAAATGTGTGATAAAAAAATGGTTGATTGCTGAGAGCATACCCAAAAATGAAAAAGCAAATTATCATAGTGTACTGAGTCTAGCTGAGCTCATTTCTCCATAGTAGCTCTCACAGTGCTGTGCTTTGCATTGGCAGCTAGAAATGTGTTGATAAC